GCAAAGAGAAACAGTGAGATTATGGAGAAAAGAAAATTTAAAAAAAGATAAAAAGGAAAAAGTGAAAATATAAATGGAAGGCACTGGAAGAGAAAACATCTTTTTCAAAACTTTATAAAAATTGACATATTTGCAAGGACTTTTTTTTTTTTTTTTACATGTCTTAAAAATTCTCTTGAATTTTAGATTTTGTTATATGGACAGTTTAAAAAGTTTTCTGAACAAAATGAGGGGATAAAATCTTAAAGAAGCTTACACATCTAGTTATGGCTTATATAGGAATAAGTCTGCATGATTTATTCTTTGGGGGACTGGAGAATTTTTTGAGGTGCTCTGCTACTTTGTTTTCTTGTGCTTCTATTTCTTTGTTTTCTGTGAATATTCTAATTATTTTGTTATGAAATTTTGTTCTACTTTTTATAGAAATAAGTGTTTTTAATATTTTCTTTATTAATATCTATTTGTACGCCATTAAACTAAATAAAAAAAGGACAGCCCTCATTCCAAGGTTTTGGAATGGCAAATAAGTGTTTATTTAAAAGTATTTCTACAGTTTAGAGATCTTGCACTGGTATTTCTGGCAACAGTCCATTTAGGAGTTGTTCTCACAGTACACTGAAGTTTTCCAGATGTTCTACCTGTCACGTCACCAAAGCCAGAAGGCCAGGCCTGTACATCAAGTGCGCTAGCAATGGTAGGACAGCTGTTCTGCAGGATGACCCAGAAGGAGTGCCAACAGAGAGACACGCATGAAATGGTCTTGTGTGGCCAGCGGCAGCGAGCCCAGCCGTGCCTCCTGCCTGTGCTGTGTTTATGTTCCATGCAGTTACAGAGGATCTTGGGCAGCTCTGGGAGTAAAGATGACCACACTCTTCCTAGAAGGATGCACAGAAATCATTTCTGAAGAAGATATTCTGAGCGAGTAGGAAACACACATTGTGTGGGGAAGAAATTATTTGATACTGAGAACATCACACAGAAAAAGGTATTTTAAAAATATACACCTCAGTTCTTTCTGTAAACTTAAAGGTGTAAGATGTCCTCTGGTTTTATGTCAGTGGGGCTTTTACTTTAGAACCTTCTAGGGCAAACACACTCTTACTGTTCAATTACTATCTATTATTACTGGGAAGGAAGGGAAAAGAAGCATGATTTCTTTTTTTCTAACTAAAAATCTTTAAAGATCTTTGTTTCATTTTTACTGAAAAATGAAAAAACTTTTTAAAATGTATTATTCAGGGTCTACAGTGTCTCACTACACAGATGGCACTCATAGTGGTCCTCCTGTTTTCAGCCTCCCAAGGGCTGGGATTATAGGTGCTCAACACCGGGCCCAGTCTCAGCGTGCCCCAGTGCAGGGCCAGGGCTGGCATGGCATGCCTGGGATGGAACCCCGGTCCCTGCATCAGCCTAAGCAGGGTGAGCGGAGCTACCTGGCTGAGCCCTGAAAATACTTTTTGACCTAATAAGACTTTCTAGCCAGATGTAAGAAACATATTTATACACATACACACAGAAACACAACCATGCAGATGTATGAAAAGAAAAATTTAAGTCTTCCAATGATACGACACTTTAAGACAACCAATTATAATAAGACTTTGTAGAACTTATTGAAAAATCGACTTCTTGGCCCCACACAAATGTTCATTTCTTTGACGGTCATTTTCATTATTATCTGAATTTTATTTATTTAAAATCTGTAAACTGAACAGGAAATGAACATTTTTTTCCCTAGGAAGCTCTCTGGCATATGTCAAGATAAAAGAAGAATTACTTTCCAGAAAATCGGCTACAACTTCATTGTAATGTCAAGTTTTTACTATTATAACTTAGAATGGGCCAATTTTCTTCTTGGTTTGCTTTCTTTTGGTAATACAGCAGTTACATGAAAATGATTTCTTTTTGACTGAATCAGTTGTTATCTCACTAACCTAGGCCTGTCTGCATACTTTCGTTTCCTTCGAAACTTGTTCTATGTTATATGAGTCCATAAATGATGTATTATTTTTCAAACTTGAACCTATCAGTTGTATTTCTACTTAAATCATACTGCCTATTGGTTGCTTTCTTACTGTCTTTTCAAACAGTCAACAAAGACTAACTAAAGTTGGAGAATCTTAGCTGGGTGTGGTGGTACATGCCTATAATCCTAGCACTCAGGAGGCTGAGGCAGGAGAATTGCTGAGTTCAAGGCCAGCCTGCTACATAAGTGAGTTCAAGGCAAGCCTGGACCTGTCTCAAAAAAAAAAAAAAAAAAAAAAAGTTGTAGAATGTTCAACAGTATCCTTGAGAATTAGCTAATTTGTGAATTCCCATAGTACCTTTTTATGTATACATTCGCTATTACATTGAAGAATTTGGAAGGCAAGGATGAATGTGATTTCATTTCAGGGTTCCCCAAGTGAGAGGCTGTGCATGCACATTTAGTCCATTTTATAATATAAAACCTCTCGGTCACACAGAATTTAGCATATGAAAGATGTCTGTCATAGTGCATGAAGAGGACTTTTTTTTTTTTTTTGTCCTTTGGAAGCAGGGTCTCAGGGCTTGGCCTTGAACTCACTTCACAGCACAGGCTGGCCTTGAGCTCACAGCCATCCTCCTGCCTCAGCCTCCAGTGCTGGGATTACAGGCATGTGCCACCACACCTGGCGATGGACATTTTTTTCTTTTACACATTTGGAGGGCTGCAGAGGAGCACATGGTTCAACATTATACTGCTGCTTGAATCAGAACCACCTGGCGACGGGGTGGAACCACATGGATTTGCTAAGAGCAAGAGTAAGGAGAGACGGCTTCTCATTCTGAAATCCAGCCTCATCGGTGCTGGCGGCAAGCACCATGTGAACAGCAGGGATATATAGCAGAGGATGCAAAAATCAAAGTATTACATAAAAAACTGATACACAAGGCTCTATAACCTGAAATAAAAAAGTAAAGGAGCAGGCAAAAGATTGCTTGCAGTTTTCCCAAGTCCAAAATACCCTGTGTAGCTGGTACAGGGACAGTAACTGGAAACAAAGCCCAAGCCACAGCTATGCATTTGGCTCCCGGAGATCCAGGGAGGTGGTAGCAATGCTAAAATCCCTGGCTGGCCGCTGCGCCACTGGGCAACACTGTCCCATGCACGCACGGGGGCGGCCGCAAGGCCTCCCTGGTGCAGACCAAGCAAGGCGGTGTCCGTCTGGGGCTTCTTATTTCTGCTCAAATCCTACATGTGCCCTAAAGGAGCCAAGTCAGTGATTGACTGAGTTACCTACAAAGAGAAAGCGGAGCAGATTTCGCCAGAGTAATTTTCTTCTCCAGGCTTCTAAAGCTACTGTGCTAGTATGATTTCCTACAGCAAGAAAGCCCAGTCAAAGGTGGCAAAAGTTGTTTGTGCTTCTCCCCCTCTAAATGACTTGCAAATTTATTCAAACACAGTATGAGGGGATGCTTTATTTGTTGAAATAACTGTCTGCAGTGTCCTGCGCTGAAGGGTGAGGTACATCAAGCAGAAACATGGGCAGAAATACATTGGTTTAGAAACTCATAAATCCTTATTTGAATCTGCCAACCTGAAAGCTATGTAGAGCCTGAATAAACTATTTGTCCTAAATGCTACATCTGATTAAGCCATACCATTAAATGACAGCTGAACTTTAACATTAATATGATATTATTGAAATAACCACATGAATTTTTTTTACACTAAAAATGATGAATGATTTCTGGACAGCTCAATTGACATAAAGCAGGAGGACTCTTTAATGAGATTTGGCAAAATGGAGACATATGCAGAATATTCGTGCGGCTCTCATTGCTGGGGCCTCCCTGGGAAGCCGCAGAGGGTTTTTCCTTTCTTTTTTATTGTCTGGAGGTAGTGAAGCACTCCTTTTGGTGGCCAGTTCCTTCTCCGTGGGTCCTGAGTTTTATGAGGTCATTTACATATTACTCTTAATCAGAGAATTTGGTGGTTTATGGCCCTGAGTTGGGACACAGTGTTCAGGAAAAGGCGGGTGGTGGAGACACTTGGCTGGCAGTGTTCCGGGAACTTCAGGCTCACTACTGATCAGGCCGGTAGAAGAATCACATCAGCCTTGAGGATGGAATCACCATATGCTTTAAGCGGTTCTTATGTAATAAGTCTCTGCACAGAAATCATAGTTTTAGCAAATCCTTACACCTGGGTACAGGATCTGAGAAAGCTTTTGTTATTTCCAAGCAGTTATCTCTCTAGTATCAACTACAAATAGTTTCTTCTTTCACATTCAATAAGCTCTTTAGGGGCCGTCCTCAAGGTTCCTCATTTGCTTTTCCACACACAATTCCAAACTGGCACCAGCACGCTGCATGACAAATCACACTCCAGCTCGGTGGGTTCTGAGTGTGAAATGTTTCTGTGCTCAATATGCTTGTGCAGAGTACACCTACCTTCTTTCATTTATCTTTTTATATTCTCACAAGTATTTTCCATCCAAGTTCAGTTACATATGTAAAACATAAAGGTCTGTTTGCTGGTACTTATGAATTTAGATCATCGAGATAACCTTGGCATTTTGTAAACCTCCTTAGCTACAGACATTAAATGAAAATGTTTCCCTGAACAATGATCCTTGGAGAAATGAAGACGAAGTAACAGAGAGCAAAGCTGACACCAAGTATGCTCCTGATGTTGGCAGGCCTGTGCTCCCTCTATCCAAACAGAAAATAAAGTCAGTCTGCTTCTGCCATGGGGCCTTCCTCAGGCTATGAAAAAAATACTTCATGTGTAACCCTAATTTTTCCATAGCTTGAGGTAACCCTCCTAGCTCAAGCCTTCTGTCTAATCTGAGTTATTCAGTATGCGTCCCCATCCAAACAAGAGTTAAAATCAGTACTCTGTTATTTCAAAAGGGTCTTGACATAGGGCACAAAAAGCACAGCTCAGAGCCCAGTAAAATCTGCTGTTGCAACTGGATGGTAATAAGAAAAAGAGAAAAGAGGGAGAAGAAGACTGGCTCCTACCTTGCTCTTACCTTCGCAACATCCCTGTTAGAACTCTGGAGCTTTTCCCCAAGTTCGCATCTGTTTCCCGAAGCTAGGAGAAGAAAAGCATAGTTCAGACAAAAATAAATTTCATACAATTACATTATTTCTAAAGCACAGGGTAAGCAATGATTTTATATCATGAGAAAATCCAAACAATACAAAATGCTTCCATGAACAAACATAAATGCACTTCTAACAATTTGTAAACTGAAAATTTTAGATTTAGAAACTGACAAACGGGAGGGAATCCAAAGAGCTTTAAAACAGATACCTGAACTTGCTACAAAAGCAAACGTCTTGTAATCTGACTAAAGTTCAATGTATATCTGGTAATTGAACTCTAATGTAGAAATATGCAAAGTCCTAAAAATAAAAACAGAATGAAGCAAAAAACGACGATATATCAGTGTCTTTGAGTCCTTGCTCTGCAAGGCTGGTGCACTCAAAAATCTCCCTGAGGAACTTTCTCTTCTTGAGCCACAGAACTAAGCAGAACATCCACGTGTGGGCATTCGAGATGGTCTATCAGCTTCTGCTCCTTTCTAGCTCTTCACAGTCTTTGCATCCTTGTTCTCCCCAGCCATGCTTATACATATGTACTTGTGTCTCCCATATGTCACCATTATTGTCTGTGTATGTCCCAAAGAGCTTTTATATCTGCCCAATTACTGAACATGTGAAAGACTGTGTCTCTTGTACTTACTCTTTCACGTGCTCGCTGTATCTTTTCTCTGTCGTGACTGAGGTTTTCCAACATTTCTTGGCCAATTTGTTCTACGGGGAAAAAAATAAAATCAGTGAGGAAAAAAAATTGGGGATACATGTGAGAATAACCTTCAGAAATACTGCCATGACAATTGGTCTACAATTGAGGTTAAAATAGTGCACATTTCCATCAGTCATGTATTTTAATTCTTGCATGTGAAAAACACAAACAATATACTGAACATAACCAGCACAGGAGGAATGATCTGTCAGTGATGTAACCTGCCTGGGACTGCTACAGCCAACTGCCTGCCTAAGGGTCCATTTCTTGGTCACTGTGGGATTGAGGCTTTGGTTTTGCAGGGTAAGGGTGATACTAATGTTTCTGCATTTTTCCCCCTTCATTATGACAATGATTTACTCATGGTAGTTAATACTGATTTAGAATACCTCTCTCTCTCTCTCTCTCTCTCTCTCTCTCTCTCTCTCTCTCTCTCTCTCTCTCTCTGTGTGTGACTAGTGAGTGAATCTAGGCTCTCTTCACTAAGCAGTTGCCTCAACACTGTTTTAATTTTTAACTTTAAGACAGGATTTTGCTAAGTTGCCCAGTGTTAATGGTTTGTCCCCCCAAAGCCACATGAAGTCATTAGGGCAGTCTTCTAGAGTTTGTGATTAATTCATGATCCAATGCTAGGATTATGGGTGTGAGTGCTACACCCACCCTGGGATGGATAGCCTGCATACAATACAGGGAGGGGAGACAGGCTTGCTAGCAGCTGCAGCCACTACCCCTCCCTTTGCTCTTTGTTGTTTTCTGCTGCCATGAACTGCTATCCTCTGCCATGTGTCACTCTGCCTTGGAGCCAGTCAAGTGTGGACTGAAACCTCCACAAATTGTGAGCTAAATAAACCTTTCCTTCCTTCATTTTGTGTGACAGGTATTTTGTCCCAGCAACGAGAGAAAACTAACTGAAACACCCAGGTTGGACTCCAACTTGTGAACATCCTCTCTCAGCTTCTAGATGCTGGGATTACAGGTGTGCCCCACTGTTCTCCATTTTGATTCAGAACAACTGTGACTTTACTACAGTCACCTTGCATAGATACTCCTCATGTTCTTGCCTACTGCAGCTTATTGGAAAAGGAACTATGTGTAGGCTTCCATTCTCCCAGAAGCGAGAGCTAGTTTAATGTGTCATTTAGTTGCTGCAGGTTCTTAAGTCAAGGTAAGGTGCATTCCTTAGCACGTAGTTGAAGAAAGCTTAAGCTGAAGACTGGGTTTTCATCCTAGAACTTCAAAACATTTATACTAACACACATGCTTATCTGATTCATGAAAAAGCCACACTCTCAATCCCAGGGAAGTCTTCCTCTGCCTTGATCACCTCATGTAGATAGCAGTGGGCAGTGTCCTTTGGCTGTAGACCTTCGTAAGAGGTAGCTGGCTCATCTGAGCCTCACCAATATCCAGCTACCTCACAACCATGGTTTGCAGATTCATTCTTCATTATCTAGGAAGTGCCTTACTCTGTAAACGAATGATGTCAAATTGCCTTTCTTACGATGTTGCAGCTTATCTGACTAACCTGCTGACCACCTCTCTCATTCTCTCTGTCTCCCTGCCTCTCATGTGTGTCTCTTTACCCATACCTATAAAAGTCACCTCTGGCTTATAAATTTACAACAAAATTCGATGAGTGCCTATTATAACAATAGCAAGTTTTTTAAGGAAGTCATTAAGAAATCACCACATAGGTGACGTGGCTCACACACTGACCCAGACAACCTCTGGAGCATGATTAGGGCCTCAGAGTCTTCTGGCTGTGAACTCACACTGCTTGAGCCTACAATGCCGACACTTCCACATGTGTGGCTTCATGGTAACTTAGCTAGCTTTGTTGTGCCTCAGTTTCTGAATCTCTAAAACAAATATTATTCATAATACTCCTATATCATAGGGATGTTATAAAGGTTCATTAAAGTATGTGACTGGCCTACACAATTATAATAAGAATTTATTGACTGAGGTGGTTGATGTGGAAAAAAATCAAATGGACTATTAGACTTTGAGATTTGCTCCTGTCCTAGTGGTTTCTTGAACTAGAGATAAAACATTCATCCTGACTTTCTCAGAAAGATGATGTACTCATTAAATGAACTAACCAAAGTATAAATGTGGAAGCTACAGGATACCACACAAACATATGACTCTGTGAGACTCAAAGCATTCAATAGCTAATCACCAAGCTCCTGATCTACACCAGGGATAACAAGTTTACACACATGTGCTTCCATCTTCGCATGCTAGTACTGAAGATCTAGCAGAGACTGCTACTCTAGCAGAGTTTATATTTTTTGACACATCAGAAAAAAACACTGCATATTACTTGCGTATTAGAAGAACTCAACCATTTTGTATGTACAAAATGGTTACATACAATATTATAAATATACTTTTGGCACCTTACAAGCTTTGACAATTCTTCCCTGGCATAGTACACTTCTGGCAAAGTCACTTGCTTCAGATTTACTTTAGTGCTTTATTATTAACTTCATGTAATTTATTCTTTAAGCAAAATAGTATAAGATATGTAGCTCCCCATAGCAGCATCAAAAAAATCAAAGATGAAGAAATGAATGAAACTTCTAAATTTGAACTTTTGGCTTTTTTTGGACATAAAAACAACAGTATTCAATTCTGCTATACTATTTTCATTATACTACATTCCCTTAATCAACATAACATAGCAATTTAAATTCATTTTAAGTTAAGATCTCTAATATCTATGAGCATCACTAATCCTGTCATTATTTCAGCAAAATACTAATGATAAAATACTTTATCAGGATTGGTAGTTTTGTAGGATTTCCTTTTTCAAAAATGTATTTAATACAGGGTCTAAATGGTTCTCACTACACAGATCAGACTTGTAGTGATCCTTCCTGTTTATCAGCCTCCCAAGCGCTGGGATTACAGGCACATGCCACCATGCCCAGTCTCAGTGGCTGTCTCAGCGCGCCCCAGGGGCGGGGTGCAGGCTGGGGATCGAACCCCAGCCCTTGCATCTGCCTAAGCAGGTGCTTTAATCCACTGAGCTATCTGGTCAGCCCTGTAGGACTTCAAGTAGATAGAAAGTAGGCAATGACTACTGTTTCTGTGATAAGCACAGATCCCAAGAGGGGATGCATGGGGAGAATGAAGAAATGGAAGAAGGAAGTAAAGTTAAAAGTGAAGAACTCAAAGTTTCTGACCTATGCCTGCTCTCTGGCCCTGGAGGAGGCAACGCTAGAAAGGAGATTCCCAATCCAGGTGGGTTTGTCGGAAAAGAAACAGTATTCTGGATGTAAATATAGTTTGCTATTGAAGGAGTCAGTGGAATGAAAGAAAAAGGCTCTTTAAGGAGCCATAAGCAACTTCCACAATCTCTTCCTTCATGGGAAGTAGCTCAGCATCTCATGTGTCGACCCCATCTGGCAAGAGAAGGAATACTGGCAAAAGTGCACACATCTTGGTCTTAGCACCAAGTACCAGGCATTTGTTAGGAGAAGAATCCTTTTTTTTTTTTTTTTTTTTATTTCTGGTCCCTGCCACCTTCCATTTTAAGGCTAAATGAAGAAAATTCCAGAATAGCCATTACTTAGAAATGGTTACTTTTAATGAATGAAAAAAATTCATGCAAAGAAAGTTATTACTATTTTTTTACTGCATTCCAAAGAAAGCAAGATGACAAATTAGAGGAAATTGTTTTAAATTATACACTATTGTTATGTTAATGTTTCTTAAATAATTTAAGATATATGCATTCATAAAAACCAACATACAAATTCACAGGTCTAAAACAATGATAAGTATGATATGAGTCCAGTTGTTTTAGGTTTTTGTGCATGCTTGCACAGTACATCATGTTCCTTGTGGGTATCTGGCACCCGCATGCAATACGTCGTAATTCCTTTTTCATCTCCTTTCCCTTCCCTCCCTCCACCTCTTCCCATTGCCTGGACCTCTTTTTTTTTTTTTTTTGTTTCTTTGTACGTGTTTACAGTACATAATGTCTACATTCCTTGTGAGGAGCTAGTATGTGTACAGAACACATCTTAATTCTGGTTTTCATCCCCTTCCCCACCCTCTCTCCATTTCTTGATTCCCTTCCCTTTTGAGAAAGATCTATCTTCCTACTTTCTACTATCTTTTACACTGTTGGTGGGAATACAAGCTAGAGCAACTACTATGGAAATTCCATTTGACTCAGCTACTACCCTTCCAGGATCTTTCCAGAAGGGTTACAGACATCATGTTACAGAGACTTATGCACACCCATGTTTGTGACAGCACAATCCATGATAGCTAAATCTTGGAAGCAGCCTATACGTCAACAACAGATGGATGGATAAAGGAAATGTGTTATTTACACACAATGCAATATGCCTGCTATAAAGAAGGGTACATTTGAGTCATTTGTAGGAAAACGGATGTACCTTGAGATCACAGTGCTAAGTCAAATAAATCAGTCATACAAAATTAAATATTATGTGGTTTTTTTAATATGAGAAACCTGAAGTAAAAATAAAGATAATTTTCAGTTCTTTAAGTTAAGAGTTTTGACTATGACAGGAATAGCTGAGTCTATGGGTGGAATATGAGAAATCATAAAACTTAAAAATACTGGATTTATATTTCTTGAGATTAACAAACAATGGAAAGAAAAAAAAACTGATTTTTGTATGTTGGGCTTTTAATGTTAGTATGAGATGACAGATGGATTTCTGGAAGGAGGAAGGAAGAATTCCTTTTTGCTCTTCTATCCTTTTTTAAAAAGAGTCCTAGAGATCACCCTGGGATTATAGCTCTAAAACAATGAATTATTGTTTCTATAATTACCAAGAATCAGGCATCTTTGGTCCATTGTACTTAACTTTCTTTGTATAAACTTTGGTATGGATGTGCTTCCTAACACATTCTTTTTAAAAAACGAAGGCATCCAGTTGGTGATTATCTTCTCATTACTGAATATAATCAAAGGGGAAAAACTCGGTGCTTGAGAAAGCATGGGGAGTCACAGCTTCTCCAG